TAAGTTCTGTGTTCTAAGTTCTGTGTCTTGCTGTCTTCTTACATCTGTATTTATACCAGTTGATTCCAATCCTATCAATCTCTATTTCAAAGGTTAGGGCGTTTCTTATCTCCATTCCAGGGAGTAAAGATTATGTAGCTTAAGCATGATTGTTCGTAGTTAAAGTGATTAATTACCCACCTGGCACTTAGTTAAGAGGTTTTATTCCCTCCCTAACTTCAGGGGAAAATCCCTACCTGGGGAAACAACCTTTCTCAGAGACCTTGGTTAAAACACATAGTGCCAAGAAGGTGAGCAAACATATTAAAAAGAGTATGCCATATATGCCAGGTCCCTTGAAACAGCAAGCATGGACCGGCTCCCGGCAAATTCCCCCTTTTTTATTTTTTAAAAGCAGGCATTAAAAAGAAAAACCTGAAATGCTCTCTTGTATCCATTTTAAGAGTAGGATTGGCGCTTTCCGCTATTACCTGAGTCCTGATCTATCACCCCAGGGAGAACTTGCCAATCCTGCACTTTCCCAGGGTGGAAAGGCTGCAGTGGGGTTAAGGATAAGGCTCCTTGGGCCTACCTTCTCCCATGCCTCTACATTTACCTTTCTGGCACCTTTCCTTCCTCAGAAAAGCATGGACGTATTTCTTGTATAAAAATGTTCCATCTGACTGGGAGTAACCTTAACTCCTCTGCTAGCAAGCATATGTGTTAAAAGATCAATACGGAGTCTTTTTTCTTTAGACTCAGTATGGCACATCTTCTTAATCTAAAGATCAATACAGAGTCTTCTTTCTTTGGACTCAGTATGGCACATCTTTTCAATCTAAGAATCAATACAGAGTCTTCTTTCTTTGGATTCAGTATCGCACATCTTCTCAATCTAAGTTCTGTACTATCCACCTTCTTACCCTACTTATTCTTTATAGGGGGGTATGTAGCACCCTGGTGGAGTCCTATCCGTCCCGAATGTGGGGGTTCTCAATGGGGGGGGGGCTTACCTATGGGAATCCTGTTCCAGGGGTTCCCAAAGGTGTGGACGGAGTTGGCGAAGACTATCCACCCTCTTCCTATGGTGGAGTCCTATCCGTCCCGAGTGCGGGGCACTTACCTAGGGGAACCCTGTTCGGGCGCCAGATGCCGGGGTCCAACCCCAGCAGGTCCAGGGGTCCCCAAAGGTGTGGACGGAGTCGGCGAAGAAGGAATGACATGAAGGCAGCATTCAGTTGATCAGCAGGCTAGCCAGGATCTCCATCCAGGATCTCCAGCCAAGTTCTGGTCTGGATCTCCAGCGAAGTTCTGGTTAGGATCTCCTGCCAGGGTCTGTGTCCATGTTCTCTTGCTAGGTTCTCCAGCCAGGTTCTGTCCAGGTTCTCCAGCCAGGTTCAGTCACCAGGTTCTAGTCGGGTTCTCTTGCCAATTTCTGTAGTCAGGTTCAGTCCAGGATCTTTTGCCATGTTCTCTCGCTAGGTTCTGTCTCTAGGTTCTGAGGCCAGTTTCTGTCCAGGAACTTTTGCCATGTTCTCTCCAGCGAAGTTCTTCTGTCTCTAGAGAACGTTCTGTGTAGGTTCTGTGCCTAGGTTCTGTCTCTCTTGGTTCTGTGTTCTAAGTTCTGTGTTCTAAGTTCTGTGTCTCTTGGCTCCCGGCAGGTTGGGGATCAAATGTGCAACCCTGGTAAGTGCCCTTGACTGGGAATTGGACCTGTGATCCTTCGGCAAGCAGGTCAATGCTCTATTCATTGAGCAACAGTTCATTATTTTTTTTTGGAGGTGGGGTGCAGGGAGGTGACTTCACCCCCCTACCCCCCAGTGGCTGCCAGCACAAAAGCCCACAACCTGGGGACTTAAAAAAACAGAAATTTATTCTTTCATAGTTCTTTTTTTAAAATATATTTTTACTGATTTCAGAGAGGAAGGGGAAGGGAGAGGGATAATCATTGATCATTGATTGGCTGCCTCCTGCATACTCCCAACTGGGAACTGAGCCCGCAACCTGGGCATGTGCCCTTGACCGGAATCAAACCTGGGACCTTCAGTCCGCAGGCCAATGCTCTATCCACTGAGCCAAACCAGCTAGGGCAACAGTTCATTTTTTTATTGCTAAGTAGTATTCCATTGTATGAATTCGCCACAACCTATTTACCCATTCACCTATTGATGGACATCTGGATTATTTCCAAGTTTGAGCTATTAATGAATTAGCTATTAAAACTATTGTGAACATTACATACAAGTTTTTTTGTGGTATGTGTATGTTGGGTGGACATATTTTCACTTCTTGTGGATAAATATCTTGGAGAGGAATTGCTGGGTCATATGATAAGAACTATCAAGCACAATTTCTTTTAAACTTATAAACGTCATCATTACCATAATTATCCATAAAAGGACATTGTACATTTTCTCCAAAGAGCTATGGCTTAGAGAGGGAACAATTCTTATGAGAAAAATATCTCAAAAATTGAAATACCTTTGATAACATGCTTTTCATAGCTCAGTGTTTTAATAGTAAGAAAAGGAATTAGGGAAGTTTAAGAAGTGAGGAACTGAAAAAGAAAGTAAAGCAATGCAAAATAATGACTAAAAAGATTCTTTGACAAAGGCAGAATCATCCTACACAGCTGCTCTGAAATCTCAGCACTGCTGTCAGCAACCTTCTGGCAAAGCTACTCTGTCAAATGGATGCACTAGGATTGATCTTTTGTGAAGTAATATCTTTATTAATATAAGCAAACACACCTCTCATTTATTGTAATATAGCGGTGTGGGCTTTTTCTTTTAGTAGTAATGTTTCCCCAACATATAACACTTCCCTTTGATATGTGGGCTGAGTCATAAATTAATGTCACCTAGATGACGAAGGCAACCACATTACAAAGTAGGAAGGTGTAGCTTGATATGAATTGCTACAGTTGAAAGCTATGTACTCTTGAACTCAATGTCATTATGTCAGATTCTGAGATATTAAATAGTTGTTGGAATGTAAAATTGTGGACATTTAAGTTTGCAGTCTTAAAATGTTTTGTCAGTCTTTTCTAGACATTCTGAAATGGAAATGAACAGGTGGATTGAAAATAAAGACAAGTGAGTTTAAAGACTTCTTGGCATCTCATAGAGAAGTTGCTGTACACTGGTGATATTTTTAAACAAATCACATATAAATACATTGAACTTGTCTGGAAACAGACTTATTTATTGGGTCTTTATATTTACCTTTGAGACAAAAATAGTTATAGAGGACTCATGTGCATTACTTACTATACACTTTTACCATGTATTATTTAATCTCCAGCTGGGAGAGAGTGTGTATTTTATGTGATGCCATAATGTACATTAGTGAGCTCACTCACTTAATCTTAAAATAACAGTATGAGGTCAGAGATTTAGAATACAGTATTATATTAAAAAAGTTGGCAGGGAGACTCTTTCTGCTATTTAACTGACTATAAATGGCATTTCAAACCTTAAATCCAACTGAAACCCAGAAACAATGGAGAGGATGGGCAGATAATTTATGAATATGTTTTTTTGATATGGAGGTGAACATATTTTTCAAAGTAGAAAAAGAATCATATGTTTGCTGAATTATATGTTATATGGACATAGCAGTATGTAGAAAGGCTGTTATCATCTATACAGCTGTATAACACAGCCTCTCCCTTTCCCAAACCCTCACTCAGTAAGGCTTGAAAATAATAGGTTTGTGAGTAATTTGGTAAGAAAATTGGAATCATTTAAAGTTCCAGTTTAAATCTAAAAGAAAAAAGACTGGGGAGATGAGGAAGAAGAGCTAACAAAATGTGGAAAAAATACATATTATGTAATAAAGTATAGTGTATATTATGCAGAGACTAAAGAAGGGTGTGCTGGAAAACTAATGTCTTTGCAATGAAAAGATCTGGATTTACTCCTTGTTGCACCATTGTGTATGACCTTGAGCAAAGTCACAATGTCTGTAAGGCTCAGTTTCATCTATAAAATGGAATCATAATGGTAGTGTCTTCTACCTTGAGGCATTATTGAAAGGATTAAAGGGATGAAAACCTATAAACTACAAAGCCTCAAAGATGCATAAAGAGCCCTGGATGGTTTGGCTTAGTGGATGGAGCATCAGCCTGTGGACTAAAGGGTCCCAGGTTCGATTCCCGTCAGGGGCACATGCCCGAGTTGTGGGCTCAATCCCAAGAGGCAGCTGATCGATGAGTCTCTCTAGTCATTGATATTTCTGTCTCTCCTCCCTCTCTGAAATCAATAAAAAATATATTTAAAAATGCATACAGATGAGGCTTTATAGACATATTGCACTGTTGAATCTTCAGAAACAGAGGAAAGAGGGAAAAAATGTCTAACAGGCCTTGGAGTCTGATAACCTGGGTTCTTATTTCAATGTCATAGCTAGTAGCTATGACACCTCGAATCAAGAAAGTACGTAATTCCTGCTTTCCTCTTTTTGATAAATGAGTATAACAGAATCAAATGAAAGTACGCAAAGGAACCTACCACTGGGATGTGTTTGATGCCCTCCACTGCCCCAAACTACTTATTAATGTCATCCACAAATTATTCACACGGTAGCATCTTTCAACAGATAAAGACGCTAAGGCAAGGCAGGAACAGATAAGGAAACCTTGAGGTAAATCTAGTCAAAGTGGGAACCAACAGTTAGCCTTGGAGATGCCTTAGTTCACTTGATGCACTTGAGGCCAGGGTATCCATACAAAAAAGACGTTCGGAGTTGGAGAGAGGGCAAGTCAAGTGTCCGTTCGACTTCGGAGACTCGACGGGAGGGACCCTGAAATTAATGAGCGCCGGTTGCCATGGCGACAGTCTCCAGGCAGCGTGGGCTGAGCTCTCTGTAGGGCTAGACTAGAGGATGGGCCTCCGCTGGACCCCGAGCGCGTGCCCGCAGCCAACTTTCCCTCCAGATCCCCGGAGCGGCGCGCTCCGCCCCCGCGCCGCGCACGTCGGCCCTCGGCGGCGCGCACGCCTGCGGGAGCCCTCTCCAGGCAACCCGGTGCTGATCGCTCGTGCCGGTGCGGCCGTCAGCGCCCTTGTGGGAGCCGAGGCTCAAGAGCAGCCCCCTCCCCTTCCTGGGCTTCCCCCACCCACTTCCCGGTCGGCGCCGGGGCTAGAGCAGCGATGGCCGGCTGCGGTCCCGAGGAGAAAACTTACCGGCGCTTCCTCGAGCTGTTCCTGGGCGAGTTTCGCGGACCCTGCGGCGGCGGCGAGCCGGAGCCGGAACCCGAACTCGAGTCGGAGCCCGAGCCCGAGCCGGAGCCCGAGCCCGAGTCCGAACTGGTAGCGGCTGAGGCGGCCGAGCCTTCGAGTGAGGAGCCCGGGGAGGAGGCGGCCGCGGTAGCCGCGACGGAGGAGAGGGAGCAAGAGCAGGACCAAGACCCCGAGCCCGAGCCCGAGCCCGAGGAGGAGGCGGTGGAGGACGAGGCGGCGGCGGCGGCGGAGGGCGACGAGGCGGCGGCGGCCACCCCGGGGCAGTCGGCCGTGCCGCCGCCGCCACCGCAGCCCCAGCTGCCGCCGCTGCCCCCGCTCCCGCGGCCGCTGTCGGAGCGCATCACCCGGGAGGAGGTGGAGGGCGAAAGCCTGGACCTGTGCCTGCAGCAGCTCTACAAATAGTTAAGTAGCGGGGCTCGGCGGAGGTGGGCCCCCGTCCCTGCCGCGGCGCCCCTCGAACTGCTCTCCTTTCCGCTCTTCATCCCCCACCCCCGCGACTGGCGTCGCCGAAAGCGCCCCCGCTGCTCTGACTCGGGCGGGCGGCTGCGGGCTGCCCACGCCCGCCGCGGCCCCCGCGCCCTCCCGCCCTCCCGCCGGGCCGGGCCCCCGCTCCCAGTTCACCCCGACCTCCCACTTCTCGGTCCGCTTCACCATCCCTATCCCCTTCGTGCCTCGGGAGGTCCGAGGGCGCCCTCTTCCCGGTCCCTTCCTCCGGGCGCTCCTTCCCCGCCCGGGTCTGTCTGTCGTTCCGGTCCGAGTGCCTGGTTGTTGGGCGGCGGAGACGCGCGGCTCGGTTCTAGGCGGATGAGAGGTGACCCCGGCCCGTGGCCGCAGGAGCCCGGCGGGGGTGGGCTCTCCCGTCGGGCGCTCCGCGGTGGAGGGAAGCGCGCTAGGTGCCTTAATGCGCCGGAGCCCAGTCTCCCGGTTTGAAGATATTTGATAACTCACCATTGAGGGAAGTGGGTGGCATCGTGGGGGAAGGGTAAGCACAATTTTACAAGCGAGCCTTCAGGTGAGAGACACCTGAAAAAGCCCTAATTCGTTCAAGTGGGAAAGTCAGGCTGCTTGGATAAAATTGCAATTAGGTGCAGTGTTTTCAGTCCATTAAGTAGATGGGGTCGGAGAGACAGCAGATGGCTTAGCTACACAGATGAAAGTCGAAAATAGAAAGGTCAGGGCTTTTGCCTTTCATCCCAGTTCTGGTTTTTATGGGCTTGAAATAGAAACGGTTGACAATCGCGTCTCTTTCCAAATGGAATTGTTCTGGAATAATGACAGGAGAATACTAACAAGTTTCTGGGAACATTGGTAAACCTGGGAATCCTTTGCCATTCTGCTGATGGTTGTAATGAAAGGTGTTAACTTTGGTCCCCCCTAAAAGTTTTCTACTGCAAGATTCAAAGCAATTAAATTCAAACTCACTTCTTGGATCCTCTCAAAGGCCTAAATTAAGAGAAGGGCCTGGAAAGTAAATCTTTTGTCTCAACCTAACAGATGGCTGATCAGAATTTTCCTGTTAAAGCTTAAGCTTATCAATAGGTAAGAAACATTTAACATATTGCTATAGAAATGGACTGTGTTGATGCTCCACACTTCACAAGCGATTTAAATTTTAAAATACTCTCCAATTACCAAAGTAATAATGTTTTTTGGCGAATGAAAAAGAAATGGCATGTAATACCACCACCCATGTGGTGGTATTACAAACAGTATTAACATTTTAGAGTCTTCCTAGTGTTTGTAATTTGCCATTGAAAAGGGCTTCCGAAATGTCATTTTTTAACACTATATAAAAACACTTAAAACTTCTTTTAAAAAAACAAAATGAAAACGTGTAATAAAGTGGAAGAATTTACTTCAGAATCGGACTGATTCTATTTGGACAGTTCTTACCTTTACAAATGCTGTTGCAGAATTTAGAGAAACATTAGAGAAGTTCCATTAAAAAGAGAGTCATTAGTTCAGAATAACTATAAACATTTGTCATTCAAGGCTTTTAAAATAATGAAATCTGCTCTAGCCTGTTGGCTCAGTGGATAGTGTCCACCTGGGTCTTTGAGGGGTCCTGGGATGGGTTCGATTCCCATCAAGGGCCAATCAGTGATTCTCTCTCATCATTGATGTTTCTGTCTCTCTTTCCCTCTCCCTTCCTCTCAGAAAATCAATAAAAAAATATATATTTTAAAAATAATGAAATCTGTATAAAGATGATGACAAGTAGATGTGTGTTTTTCCGTATCGAAGGGCAGTGAGATTAGTTTCGATAACTGTGTAAACTAGAAAAAGTATTCAAATGATACAATGGCTATGTAATGAAGAATAAAGTTTGAATTTGAAGTAAAACTACCAAAATTAAAGTTGGAAGATATTATTTTGCTTTAAATCAAATTTCGTCATTTATACTGTGTTTTGTGCAGAGGCCATTAACCTATTTTTATTCATATATAAAATGGCTGGTTTGTTTATGTAAACTAACTTCAAGATTTTTAACAGATAAGCCAAAAAACTAACCCTCCTCCCCCACAGAACTTAGAAATACTTTTAACGCTTTGTTTTTATTTATAAAAGGAAATCATATCACTTAGTTACAAAAATCAATATTGGAAGACATGGTAAGGGTAGATCATTTTCTGCCCAAGCACTTTATTTTACAGATGAGAAAACTATGGATTCAGATTCAGAAATGACAGATTATGTACAAATAATTTCTACATTTCTCAATACAAAACTTCCCAATATGCCAAGGTTGTGGGTTTGATCCCTGGTCAGGGCACATACAAGAATCAACTAATGAATGCATAAATAAGTGGAACAACAAATAAATGGAAAAACTCCTTAACATATTTGAAATGTTGGGTTCTCAAATTTCCTAAGAAATATTCTTAAATAACTTTGATTAGGAATTTGTTGGAATTGCCTATTTGGGGAAGGTGAAGATTGTTTTTCTAAGTATTTTCTCAAATACCATACCCACCTACTCTGTTTATTTTGGGAATTCTTAATATTCTTTAAAAATTATCATGCTTGTCAAATGCATGCTTAAGTTCTTAAGTGAAGTTACCTGAAATATATATTCACCAATTTGATAGTTGGGACTAGTGTAATAAGAAATTAACAGTGTTTAATGCCAGTTTCATAAATCTCTAGTGTGTTTTTTTCTGTCAGTATTTTAGAAGTATACAATATGTAGCTGCTAAATACACAGGTTCTCTGAAGAAAAAAAATAAAGGTGCTTATCTTAATACTGCTTTTCGTATACACTAGTTGAAAGTTTGCTTTTAAAAAACATAGTAAAGGTTTTTTTTCAACATTTTGCTTCTCAAAAGACTTTTAGAATAAGAACAGCAGATATACTTATCATTCATCATTTTGGTAAATTCAAAGCCCAGGACTAGCTTGAGATAAGCAGTTACTTAGAGGTAAATAAAGGATCAAGGTTTAAATGGACAAAATATAGTTATAATTAGTAACATCAGAGTTTTTCAGAGCAGTATTTGGGATAACGTTTTTGCCATTAGTCTTAAAAATGGGAAATATGTACTTAGATACTCCTCTACTAGATAACAACATGTAACATTTTGAAAGAAAAATAATGAAATATTTTCTAATGACATGAGATTAGGATTTCTGAGGTCAGTGAGAGAGTCTCTTTTAAAAAGAGGTAGTGACACCCAGCCTGCATGGCACAATGCTTGAGAGTCTACCGATGAGCCAGGAGATTAGGGAACATGCCTAGATTGGGGGCTTGATTTCCAGTGTGGGGTGTGCAGGAAGCCACTGATCAGTGATTCTCTGTCATCATTGAGGTTTCTATCTCTCTCTCCCTCTCCCTCTCTGAAATCAATAAAAATATATTTTAAAAGAAAAAAGTGAGATATTTTATAGCTTTGAAATAATTTGCAAATACAAATTTTATAACTGGTCTTACAGTGGATGTGAATATGAGGCTACTTGTATAGGTTACATGGGTCAATACTGTGCATTTTATTTCTTTGTATTATACTGAGGATAAATCTATTTTAATCTGGAAGAAACACTCTTAAGTTGTTACTAGAGGTACATGTCACTACATTTTTAGAGCAGTATTTCCTCAGTTATGCATTTGTCTGCGTGGATTTCTCAAGGCGGGGGAAGACAGATATCCCAGCCACTAGTTGAAAATTACCATGCTGGCAAAGTTAAGTAGTTCCAGATGGCTTACAGTAGTAATGAGGGGTGTGTATTTTAAAAAGGGCTTGGAAAATAAAATCATTGATTAGAGACACTAATAATTCAGTTATATTGAATTATCCTATACAATAAAAGGTTAATATGCAAATTGAGCAAATGGCATAACAACCGGTCGATATGATGCGCACTGACCACCAGGGGGCAGACGCTCAATGCAGGAGCTGCCACCTGATGGTCAGTGTGCTCCCACAGGGGGAGCGCTGCTCAGCCAGAGCCGGGCTCATGGCTGGCGAGCCCAGCGGCAGTGGCGGGAGCCTCTCATGCCTCCACAGCAGCGCTAAGGATGTCTGACTGCCGGGGAGCGGGCGTAAGCTGACAGTCAGATATCCCTCAAGGGCTCCCATACTGTGAGAGGGTGCAGGCCAGGCTGAGAGACACCCCCCACCCCATGAGCACATGAATTTTGTGCACCGGGCCTCTAGTGTGAATCATGACTTTGAGATAGGCCAGAAAACCATTAACATTTGTCTCACAAAGTTGAAAAATACATGGATGGGAGTTATAGTAATAATTTAAAACTACATATTTTTCTTATTCTAAAGTAACTAGAGGCCCAGTGCACAAAATTCGTGCATGGGTAGGGTCCCTAGTGGCTGCTGGCTGGTGCCTCCCTTCCCCAGCTGCTGGCTATTGGTCGGGGCCTTCCTTCGTTCCATGCTGCCCCCTGGTGATCAGTGCACACCATAGCGAGTGATTGAACTCCTGGTCTCCTGGTCGAACTCCTAAGGGGACACTTTGCATATTAGGCTTTTATATATAGAGAGATGTTCATTATAAGAAGAAAATGACATTAGCAAAAAAAGAAGAAAATAAATACCAATCATTCAGTGTTAACTGTACTTTTCAGGTTCTCCTACCTCTCAGGCTGCCACTTGTTCTCTGAGTTTTTAATATATTGCCTTTTCTTTTATTATTGGTCCTTGGCCTTTCAAGCCTGGCTGACTTGTCTCCCTTAGCTTTGGTAATTGTAGTTATACTAATGTCCTCCGATTTTATCTCCATCCCTGCTTTGACAGATAATGGAACAGTCTACCTAGATGTCTAAAATGCTTTTCAAATTAAACTGTCCAAAATTGAGTTCAGTTCTCCAACTGCAACCTGGGTATGCGCCCTAACTGGGAATCGAACCTGCCACTTTTTGGTGTACGGGACAATGCTTCAATCAACTGAG